GACATGCTGAGGCTGGCATCGTAATTCCAGTCCCCTCTGAACTCTCCTACTTGCCTCACCTGCTGAAATAAGAGCTCCTCTGCTTTGAGCCTCTCCACCATTTCCCGCTCCATCAGAGCTAATTCTCTTTCACGCTCCAGCTCAGCCATTTCCTTTCGTCTCTAGCATTGTATAAAAACAACAGCAAGTGACTTCTTAGAGAGAAAAGCAATCTTGAAAGCACTTAATAGGGATAATTAGGGAAAGGGTTAAGCAAATTATAGCCCATCCCTTTCAAAACTAAATAATAATTTGGGGAGATATTTTATCTGAATAATGAGCACAATATTAAAGTTACACATTGTTTATTATCACAAGTACATAAACATAAATCTATAAATCTATAGAAAAAAGACTTCCCATGAAAGAAATTACCCAAAAATCTAGATAGAAGTCTTCTTTGGGTACTGTTTTCTCCTTCCTACTTTTCATGTTGTTCAAGTTTTCATCCAATAAACATTATTTTTATAACAGAAAAATTAAAATATTAAACTTTTTAAAAAGCAGACAAGTTGGACCAGTTATTTTTCGCTTCTAATTTCCTGGAAAGAGGTTCCTGCTTACCAGTTGTTCCATGGTCACATTTTCCTTAAACTTGTAAATCCACAATGCCAAATATTCTATTGGATCCACTGGGCGAACTTTTGCCACTTCTGCAAGACCTTGAGTTAAACACGTCCCAAGGTGCTTTTGAAGATATATTGACTCCATTTCTAACTCCTAAAAATTAAGAGTTTTTGCATTACCACAGTATCTTCAATAAAGTCACTATATGACTAAAGTTCAGTGAGGTGAACAAAGCATGACACCCTGCCCTCAGTCATGGACACCTCCCACTGGGGGTGCCAAAAGCAAACTAGTCCCAGGAAACCTCTAACAGTTTCCAAAAGGGCTCCACAGAAGTCACTACAACTAAAATGGTTTCAAAATCCTGAAAGACACTCAAGTCCAAGAGTCAGAAAACAGATATTATTACTATTGATTTCAGGATTACTTGATGCCAAGTAATGTGAGTCTCATTTAATCCTCACAAAATACCTGAAAAGTGGGTATCATGATCTCACTGGGAAGATGAGCAAGCCCATGCACAAAGAGCGTCAGAGCAGTTCAGGATCACACAGCTGGCAGATGAAGGAGATAGGGTTTGTACCCACCTCTTGATTCCAAAACCCTAACCCTAAAGACTATACTAAAATGTTCCTTCTAAGCCATGAGAGCCACTTTTACAAAGCATCACATAGTCCACCTTTTGAAAAAAAAATCCATAAATTTTCCAAGGCCAAACAAGAAAAACTCAACCTCCAAATAATAACATATGAAGCGCCTCACAATTTGGCCCCAATTTTCTTTTGAGGTTCAACTCCAGACATCATCTCTCCTGGTCCCAGCACACCCTGGCCTCTCTCTAACTCCGTGGACATCCTGCCATTCTGATGATCACGCCTTGCACATTTCCATCTCCATGACTCTTGTACATGATGATCCCTCACTCTCTCTCCTCTCTTTCTCCTCCCTCCCTCTCTCTCTCTCTCCAGTCTCTTTTCTCCTTTTACTCTCTGTCACTCTTTCTCTCTCAGAAAAGATCTCCTCTCCTGCAAGGCAGAGAATCATTTCTCATTCCCTAAGCTTCCCAGGCAACCCAAAGAAGTTCCTCTTGCTCCAAGCAGCTTGCACAGCATTTGCCACACTACCTGAGAATTACAGTATCTCCGTGTGTGTGTTTCTGTCCTCCCACGAGAAGACAAACTCCTCCAGCTGCTTGAAGAGTGTTTTAATCACAGGGCTGACACAGCTGTCTCTCCATGGTAACAAGGGAATGAATTGCTCCATTCTCCCAATTATGTCCTACTCTTTCCAGTTATGAAAATAAACAGGAATAATCATAGACTGGATTGTTTTTAAAACAGAAAAGGAAAAATGCAGCAACCAATCTCTTTCAGTGCTTTGGAAAAAATGATCATCCTCAGATTACTCTTAATATTTTAAGAAATCAGACTTTTCTAAGGATCTGATGAAATGTAATCATTTGTTGAACAGGTATGTAATGAGTATTGGTTGGGCACAATGGCTCATACCTGTAATCGTAGCACTTTGGAAGGCCAAGACGGGTATATAACCTGAGGTCAGGAGTTCGAGACCAGCCTGGCCATAATAGTGAAATGCTGTCTTTACTAAAAATACAAAATTAGCTGGGCATGGTGGCACATGCCTGTAATCCCAGCTACTTGGGAGGCTGAAGCAGGAGAATCACTTGAACCCGGGATGTGCAGTTTGCCGTGAGCGGAGATTGTGCCATTGCACTCCAGCCTGGGCAACAAGAGTGAAACTTCATCCCCCCCCCCCAAAAAAAAAAGAATACCTCTTATATACCACCATGACAAGTACTGGGAATACAAAACTATTGTGGATTGAATGTCTGGGTCCCCCAAAAATCCCTATGTTGAAATTCTAACTCCCAATCTGATGGTATTAGGAGGCAGAGCCTTTGGGAAGTGATTAGATTATGAGTGTGGAGCCCTCATGCATGGGATTACTGCCCTTATAAAAAGAGAGCTTGCTTTAACTCTCTGCTGTCTGCCATCTGAGAATAAAACTAGAAGACAGTCACCTGTAAACCAGGCAGAGGGTCCTCACCATATACCAGAAATGCCAATGCTCCAGCCTCCAGAATGGTGAGAAATAAATATGTATTGTTTTTAAGCCACGCAGTCTTGGTAATTTGCTACAGCAGCCCAAACTAAAGCAAAAACAGTCTCTGCCTTCATGGAGCCTATAGATGAGTAGGGAAGAAAAATATTAACCACATATTTAAATCAATAAATATGAAATTGAAGTTAAAATAAGTAATATAAAGACCAGACAGGATGAAGAGTTTGAAGAGTTTGATCAAGTCAGGAAAGTCAAAAAAACCTTCTCTGAGGGTTGACATTTGAGCTAAGTTTATAACCAGAAAAAAAAAAAAAAAAAAAAACCAGTAAAATTAACATGGCAAAGAAGAGAAGGAAGAGTCTTCTAGGTATGAGGAAAGGCCCTGATATAGGAATGAACAAATTACAGGGGATAAAATGCCACTGTGTCTAAAGTTTTCCCTAGACAAATGCACCTAGCATTTTGCATAAAATTTCAGAGGCACTGACATCCTGGGCTCATCCATAACCCCAATCTTTATTCATGGATAGACCCCAAGATGTCAGTGTCTCTGAAATTGTACACATAACCATGTGCATATGCCACATGACAGTGACAGGAGAGCAAAATGGCATAACTCCTATGGAGGAGAATTTGGCAAAATCTAGAAAATCACATATGCATTCACCCTGTGACTCATCAGTCTTGCTTCTTGGATCCTATCTCAAAGAAAAAATATGAAATGGCATAGGGATTATTTGCAGCATTGTTTACAACAGTCACACTGAAGCACCACCTAAATGTTCATCAAATTGGGGATTAATGAGAAAGAGCAACACAATGGGTTATTATGCAGATGTACAAGAGAAAGAAGAAACTGGAGAGTGATCTCTAAGACATAGAATAAAGAAAATGAGGTACAGAAATTGTATCTGGTCTGTCATCTTTTGTATTAGCAACAGCAGTGGGGAAAGGAATGTGTACATGTGTATACATAAATATGGTCATAAAAACTCAAAAAACTGAAAACTGGCACAAATGAACCTAATTCCAAATCAGGTTGATATTGGTTTCCTAACCACACAGAAAAAAGAATTACTGCAAATGACTTTGATACACAGTTGCACAGTATTTTTTCAGTAAAATGGACTTGTAAGACCAAAATGCTATATAGACATCTCAAAGTCATTTGAAGTGAATAGCAGGGCGCGGTGGCTCACGCCTATAATCCCAGCACTTTGGGAGGCGGGTGGATCACGAGGTCAAGAGATCGAGACCATCTTGGTCAACAAGGTGAAACCCCGTCTCTACTAAAAATACAAAAATTAGCCGGGCGTGGTGGTGCACGCCTGTAGTCCCAGCTGCTTGGGAGGCTGAGGCAGGAGAATTGCTTGAACCCAGGAGGCGGAGGTTGCAGTGAGCCGAGATTGTACCATTGCACTCCAGCCTGGGTAACAACAACTAAACTCTATCTCCAAAAAAAAAAAAAAAAAAAAAAAAGGAAACAGACTTTTGTTGCTGCTCTAGAAAAATAAAATGTGGGAAAGTGGGAACGGCACCATTATCCCTAAAGAGAAAACTTCTGGCCTAACAGTCAGGCCAAGTCAGGGAAGGCTCTGTCTCGGATTTCTGGGCATATCAGTGGGACCCAGGCAAGGCCTGTCAACTCGTTTCGCATGGTTCCTGTCTGTGAAACGAAGATAATACCCATCTCTCCTGTTGTAAGCAGTGTTATTTTTCATACACACTAACAGGCATCTTGGCTCAACGTAAGAAAACGCTTTCCCAAAGAAACAGCTGCCTCCAGCCTGAAGAAAGTGCCACAGAAATGTAAGGAGTTACCTTATCCACACCTAGGAGAGAGCCAGCCAGCTGACTGGGCAGGGGCACCTGGGCAGGGATGCTAGACTTCTCAACTCAAAACCCAGCTCGCCCAGGAAACTCTGAATTTCAGATAAACAACGAATAACTTTGCATGATACTATATTTGGACTGAAAAGTAGTTCGTTTATCTGAAATTCAGTTACCTGGGCACGCAGTACAGTACTGTATCTGGGAACCTCCCGGGGCGCTCAGTGCGGTTTTCCCACCCTGGAGTGTGGAAGGGTCTTCCGCAGCCCGCAGGCGCCGCAGCCCTTCCTGCTCAGGAGCAGGAGCAGGAGAGCCGGCCGCTTTCGGGAGCTCCAGGCGCGAAGCTGCCTCTCTCCGCCTCAGGTGAGTCCTGCTCGACGCCCAAGTCCCAACAGTCAGAACCGCCTCTGCCCGCCGGACCCAGCGAAGCCAGAGGAACAAATCTCAAAAATGGTTGGTGCTTTTGCGCACCGGACGCACGCGCCTGCTTGCCACCCGGCAGCCGCGTCCCGTTGCCAGGCAACGAGAGCGCGCGCGGCAGGAACCCTCGCAGGCGCCGCAAAGCGAGAGGGGCGCGCGGACCGGTGAGCGGAGGGCGCGCGTGGGCGGAGAAGGGAGCACGCACTGCAGAGAGAAGGGGGTTTGCGGGGTCGCGCTGCAGAGAGGAGGGGGCGAACAGGAGTCGGGGCGCGCGGCAGAGTGGACTAGGCGTGCGGGGGGGCGAGGCAGAGTGAAGCGGGTATGCAGGAGTGGGGGCGCGCGGCAGAGAGAAGGGGTCGCGAAGCAGGAGCGCGCGCGAGGGGGTGGAGCCGGAGAGGAGGATGATTCAGGAGAGGGGCGCGCAGCAGAGAGGAGGGGCCGTGCAGGAGACTGGCCTGCGGCAGAGAAGAGTGGGTGTGCAGGAGAGAGGGCGCCCACGACGGGGCAGCAGGCAGAGAGGAGGGGGAATGCAGGAAGGGAGCGCGGCAGAAGCGGCACGCTCGAGGGGGCGGGGGCCAGGGAGGAGGGGGCTCGTAGGAGCTGGGCGCATAGGAGAAAGGAGTGGGCACGCTGGAGGGGGGGTGCGCGGGCGAGGGTCCAGGAAAGGCGTTTGTGGCGACGCGCGGGTCGGTGAGCCGAGGAGACTTGCAACACAGAATCTACCTGGAGGAGTTGGGGTGCAGAAAAGAGCAAGGAACCCTGGTCGGCAAGCTCCGGGAGAGACGAAGGGGTGGGGAGGCTTTGAGGAGGTGCCATGAAGGGCAGCCAATCCGAGAAGGGCGGGGGACCTTCCAGAGTTGCCGGAAAACCGTCACTACAAGCTGCTAATAGCCTGACAGTTTCACAACTGCGCACCTTTGCTCCTGCTGGTGACGCCTCTGCTGGGTTCCTTTCAGAACCAGCTCGGGTCCCCTACCTCCGGGATGCCGTCCAACCTTCACCAGGTCCAAGCCCTTGCAGTCTTCCCTGGCCTAGTGGTCTGTGCATGTACTAGCCTTTCCTGTGCTCTCCTTCAGCTTATGGGCGGGGCAGTGCCAGGCAAGAGAGGTCTTACACGTTAGTTGAGATAGTAAGTGCCAGAGTGGACGCTGAAAAATCAAAGGGAAGCGTGAGCGCAGGCGTCAGAACCCTAATGAATAAGCCAAGAAGTATTTACTGAGCTTCTACTGTGCCAAGCACCAGCGGTATAGAGTGAACAAAGACAACCCCTATCCTTATTACCTTACCTACTGAGTGCAAGGTCAGGAACAGTGTAAGCACACCCTCAGGGGAGCTCTGGGAAACACAGAAAAATAACCTCTCCCCCTATTGGTGAATGTACCCTAAGTTGGTCTGAGTGGGCTTCCAGGCGCGGAGGCTTATCCCTACCCTAGCACTTTGGCAGGCCGAGGCGAGTGGATCACCTGAGGTCGGGAAGACGAGACCAGCCTGGCCAGCGTGGCAAAACCCCTTCTCTACTAAAAATACAAAAATTAGCTGGGTGTAGTAGCACACACCTGTAATCGCAGCTCCTTCGGAGGCTAAGACAATGGAATTGCTTGAACCCAGGATGCAGTGAGCAGAGATTGCGCCACTGCACACCAACCTGGGCGACAGAGCAAGGCTCTATCTCAAAAATTTAAAATAAATAAATAAATAAATAAAAGGCATTCTCTTGACTTCTTCCCCACCAGGCCTCACATTGTATCCTTGCTCTACTGTCTTTGCACCACATCTTAGTAACTGTTGGACCAACACATTTCATTCAGATCATTGTTGAAAATGGGCAATTTAGAGTAGGTGGGGGTATGCCAATATGGCTTGCCGCATGTAAGCAGTGTGGCAGCCACCCAATGACCAGAGAATGCAGAGCTGGTGATTCTGCCTTCTGGGAAGGACAGTTCTACAGTGATCCAGGCAAAGTAGATCGGTAACTACAAGTCACTTGGGGATTTTATTAACATGCAGGCTCTGAATCTGTGGGGTGGGGTGGGACCTGAGATTCTGCCTCTCCACAAGTCCCCAGGTGATGGAATGCTGCTGGTCATCTCATCAGACCAGGTTTGCATAAGAGGAGGGGCGTAGAAGGTTTTTTTATCCAAGTTCATTGGTTCAAGTGGGCTGCATAGATTGGCAGGAGACACCACCCACCTCTGTCCCCACCCTCATTCACTATCCCGCTCAGCTTTTTTGTTTTATTCCCTTAGAGATCTTGGAGTCAGAAGTCCAAAGTGAATCTTACTAGCCTAAAACCAAAGTGTCAGCAGAGCTGGTTCCTCAGGAGGCTCTGGGGAGAATCTATTTTCTTGCCTTTTCCAGCTTCTAGAGGATATCCTTGGCTCAAGGTCCTGAATCACATCGCCTTTTCTCCCTCGGCTCTGTCATCACCTTCCCTATCTGACCATACTGTGTCCCTCTTATAGTGACACCTGTGATTACATTGTTCCTACTCAGATAATCCCCCTACCTCAAGATCCTTAATTTAATCACATTTACAAGTCCCTTTTACCATTAAAAGTGAAATATTCATAGGTTCCAGGTATTCAGACATGGACACATTTGGGAGCCATTATTCAGCCCTAGAACAAGGACATTCTCTTGTTGATATTTCCGTTATTCAAAATCAAGAAATTTAACTTGGATAAATTATATCACATAATCTACAATTCACAGTCAATTCATGTAATTTTCCTAACAATGACCTTTATAGAATTCTTTTTTCTTTTCTTTCCTTCTTTCTTTCTTTTTTTTTTTTTTTTTTCAGACAGTGCCTCACTCCGTCACCCAGGTTGGAGTGCAGTGGTGAGTTCTTGACTCGCTGCAGCCTCAGCCTCCTGAGCTCAAGTGATCCTCTCACCTCAGCCCTGCTAAGTACAGCCCCACTAAGTACTACAAGTGTGTGCCGTTATGCCTGGCTAATTTTTGTATTTTTTGTGGAGACAGGGTTTTGCCATGTTGCCCAGGCTGGTCTCAAACCCTGAGCTCAAGTGATCCTCCTGCCTCAGCCTCCCAAAGTGCTGGGATTACATGTATGCACCACCATGCCCAGCCAAATTCTTTTTTCTTGTCAAGATACAATTTAGGATCATGTGTTACATGTAGTTATTATAGCTCTTCACTCTCCTTTGATCTGTATCAGTTAACTCTTTTTTTCATAACCTCAACATTTTTAAGAGTACAAGGTAGTTGTAGACTGTCTCTTGCTTTGGATTTATTTGATGTTTCCTCAATTATATTCAAATACTGCATTTTAGGCAGAAATCCACAGAAATGTTTTATGTACCGTAAGAAGTGCATCACATCAGGAGGCACTTGATGTCACTTTGTCCCTTTATTGGTGATACTTGGATTACTTGTTTCAGGTTGTGTTGGCCAGGTTTTGCCACTGTAAAATTTCTGTATTTCCTTTGGAATAAATACTTAATTTGTGAGAAGAAACTTTGAGACTATACATGTATCTTATTCCTTGTCAAATATTCACCCAAGCTTAGCACTCATTGACTCACGCCTTGATTCAATTATACTGTGGTGATGAGGAAATGGCAGTTTTTTAAAACTCCATTATTTTCCCCACATTTGTTAGTTGGCATTTTACTTTAGCAAAGAACTGTGCCTTCTCCCTTCTTATTCTACTTATATATTCTCATATGGACTTATGGATTCTTATTTTTTCCATAAGTTATAATCCATTACAGTCACTATTTATTTTAATGGTCAAACTGCCCCAGATTTGACTATAGGAGCCCCTTTAAGCTGGTTCTTCTGTCCCCAACCATTATATTTTTTTAGAATGTTCTAACTTTCTGGCACAACAAAATGTTCCTGGCTCATTAGGCTTGTCCTGCCATTCCTCGGAATCAGCCTTTGGAATCAGACATTCCTCCAAGGAGCCCTGATTCCTCTTAAGAGGAGTCCAAGACTATTTACAAGCAAGGTTTATGTGCTCAGTGTGCTCATTGCTACTGAAGTGTTTTGGTTTCTAGGCCCTAGCAGCGGAGAGAGCCAGGAAATATTTTATCTATTATAACCATAAGATAGATATGAACAGGTAAGATCGATATGGATATCTGTCTACATGTTTTTTCTTCCTTAAGCTACGAAATGGGGATTAGAGGAGGCAAATTGAAAAATGCCTCCAGAAAATGTTAATGCTAGATCTGAGCTTTTATTACTGGCTGGAATCTTTTGGAATTAAAATGTATCAACTTCAGGAAGATGGGATCCCTCAGGAGGAGGCCAGGCGCTAGGTCATTTGATGGCACAATCCTCCACAGAATAACGTAATAAGCACTTACTCTGTGCGTGGCTAAGTGCCTGATGTGCGTTTATTATCTCCTCTAATCTAATTATTGTGAGCTACATACTTTTGTTACTTCTGTTTTACAGTTGAGGAAACTAAGGCTGAGGGAGAATGAGTGACTCGCTGAAGAACACACAGCTAATAACTGGCAGAATCAGGACTGGAACTAGGTCTATCTTAATGTGCATTCCTACTGCCACAATTCCCTGCTGCTCCCAAGTTGGGCTACCTTGCCTCCAGCTCTTGAAATATGATGAATAGCAAATCCTTAAGTAATAGAGAATGGAATATCATGTCAGGTGCTGGCAGAGCTCCTGACAAGCAGTAGCTGCAGGGCCAACATTTTCCCTCCCTCTTCTCCCCAGGGCATTTCCATGGTCTCCTGTGAAATAAATGAGCCTGTCTTACCTATGTCATAGATGACTATAGCCTCCAGCCTCATAATAGCACTGTTTGCTGGGTGCTCAGGGCCCCTCCCCCGGACCTCCTGCCTGCTCATTTATTTTCTCTCTATTCAAGGGCAGAAATTTGTGGGTCAGGGGAGGCCTTAGCCACCCTTACCACCAAGGTACCAAACTCCTCCCAAGCTACACTGTCTGACCTAGTGCAGCTGGTGAGCTTTAGAAAAAAAGTCCATTTGAATATAAGAGCTATTGATAAGTAAGTGTTTGTTGGTTCTTTTGGGAATGATGTGATCCAGAAACATCTCATATTTGTCCTGAAATAAATCTGAATTGGTTAGAATGTATCTATTTTTAATGTTAGATTAAGTTTGCAAAATAATGTGACTTTGTTTTGATGTTTTCCAGGCTCCCAGGATGGAAACTAACTACCTAAAGAGGTGCTTTGGAAATTGCCTGGCCCAGGCACTGGCAGAGGTGGCAAAGGTCCGGCCCAGTGACCCAATAGAATACCTGGCTCACTGGCTTTATCATTATGGGAAAACAGTGAAAGCAAAAGAAGAGGTGCGTATATGCAGTGGGATTTAGGGAGGGCCCAGCTTTCCCAGAGTACTTTGAAAACCAGACACAAGGCAGGATTCTGGAGCTGGCCTGGGGAGTTCCTTGGTTTATTTGACTTGCTCTTAGGGCCAGATATCCCTTAAATGTGGGGATCCTGGAAGCTAACTCAGAGAAGTGGGGCTTCAACTCAGAGGAGCTGTGGGGTTGAAGGGTTTGTAGCTATTAGCAGGCTAAAGCTAGTTACAGGAGGAAACTCAACTGACCCAAGGGGCCCATGACCCAAGTCAGTCCCCAGTGGGCCGGGGGCATTTATAAGGCTTCTCCAGGTGCTGACCTGATTTGACCCTGTCACCTCACCCCAGAATAGGCAAGAGAAGATCCAGCTGCAGGAAGAATATGACAGTAGCCTCAAGGAAATGGAAATGACAGAAAGGCTGAAACAAGAGGAGTATCAGATTCAACAGAAGTGTGAAAAGTGTCACAAGGTAGGGAGAAGGGACTCAGCTTTGCGTAGCCACAGACATCCCAAAGATGGAATCCAGGAAGGCCACAAGTTAGCCCAACCCCAATGTAAGGCACAGTAAGGGTCCCTGTAGCCTGCTTTTCACTCCATATTCCCATATTTGTATATAAACCTATGTTATTGACAACCTTTGTTAATGGAAAAAAGGAGATGTTAAAAGACAAATTTGTCTAGATTTGAGGAAATACTCTGGTGTTACTGGTTTTAAAAAATCTGACTTTTAAGAAAATCTATTCACTTGGAGCAAATTTTTTTAATATAAGCTCCTTTGAGCCCTTTTTAAGTAGTAGTCAATATTTTTCAGAAACCAAATATGGTTGTTATCAGTGCATACTTCAGATATTAAACTTAGTATTTAGGATTTGGTTTATTGTATTCTATTTGCTTTTACATGAAACCTCAGATGCCTCCTGTGTGATGGTATAATATTAGATGAAAGTTGTTAACTTGGAATAGTTGGAGACAACTCTGCATTCATTAGTCTGACAAGCATATCTCTTACCTCCCACAGCTCTTTTCACCGTCTCCTGAAAAATGCCTTATGCCATTCCATGCTTTCTACAAAGTGGTAGATACCTGGATAGACAGTTGTCTCAATGGCAGTGTTGGGTTTGGTATCTGACATCTTTTTGACTGTCACTGTACCCTGTGCATTAAAGTCTTTAATGCAGTCCGTTACAATTCACTGGCTTTTGCTAGCTTCCAAAGCCGACTTGGAAGACATGAAAATATTAAGCTTACTTACACTTACACTAATATACTCAACATCCTCATAAACAATATATTTGCTTCTTAAAGGCCGGATGTCTTGTAAATAAATTAAATCAAAAGATAGTTTCATTCTATTGCTTGGCAATAGTCTAAGGGAACTCTCCCTCAGGAAGGATTCATTCTTTAAGCAATTGTTTGGAGATGGGAGAGGTGAGGATCATTCAGCAAAATGTGTCATCACCTTGCTGCCCACCTCTAATCTATTTGTAACTCCATGCTTTACTGTTTTTTTTTTTTTTGTTTTGTTTTGTTTTTGAGACGGAGTTTCGCTCTTGTTACCCAGGCTGGAGTGCAATGGCGCGATCTCGGCTCACCGCAACCTCCGCCTCCTGGGTTCAGGCAATTCTCCTGCCTCAGCCTCCTGAGTAGCTGGGATTATAGGCACGCACCACCATGCCCAGCTAATTTTTTGTATTTTTAGTAGAGACGGGGTTTCACCATGTTGACCAGGTTGGTCTCGATCTCTCGACCTCGTGATCCACCCGCCTCGGCCTCCCAAAGTGCTGGAATTACAGGCTTGAGCCACCGCGCCCAGCCCATGCTTTACTGTTAATAGAAACAGAACTATATAAGGCAGTAAGAAATATATAAGGAAGACTCCCAAAACTCCACCCTAGTTTTATGGTATCTTTATTAAGGAAAACTTTGCTCACATCAATATTCTGAATTGTCCTTTTGTGTTTCACTGAGGAGGTTTTGCATCCAGCAGCAATATTCCTTAACAAGATTTACATTAGCAAATGGTATGTCATTCTTTTGCCAAGTGTGTGATGTAGGCAATTGTAAGGGAAGATGGGAAATGACAGCCAGTACAATGCCTAGACTATGTGCAAGTTCTCAGTCTTAAGAAAGAGTTCATGTGTAGGTTGTGGTTATGGAAATGGATTCCCTATGTCAGAAGGAAATAAAGAGAATCCAAAAGTGATCTAAGATGAAGCCAAATTAATAGTTTACCTGGCAAGCCGGGCGCGGTGGCTCAAGCCTGTAATCCCAGCACTTTGGGAGGCCGAGGCGGGTGGATCACGAGGTCGAGAGATCGAGACCATCCTGGTCAACATGGTGAAACCCCGTCTCTACTAAAAATACAAAAAATTAGCTGGGCATGGTGGCACGTGCCTGTAATCCCAGCTACTCAGGAGGCTGAGGCAGGAGAATTGCCTGAACCCAGGAGGCGGAGGTTGCGGTGAGCCGAGATCGCGCCATTGCACTCCAGCCTGGGTAACAAGAGCGAAAACTCCATCTCAAAAAAAAAAAAAAATAGTTTACCTGGCAAGGGAGAGCAACAACATTAAGGTGTGAGTTACTCTCCAAGCAAACTTTGACAAGGCTAAATAAAGGGCAGAGAGGCAGAGGTATATCAAAAAGACAAGATTCCAAGTCCTGGCTTCTGATTGACTCAGGTGGATTACAAACTGTTCCTTGCTATTGGCCACCTTCACATTTTGTGTGACTAGTGCTGGGAAACCCAGTTTCAAACTGACCCAGGATAGGTTGCATAAAACTTCAGCAGGCCTGCTAGTTTACCTGATGAACTGATACGCATACACTTGAAGTTTTGCAGTTTTTTCCTTAATTGCTTTAAAAAAAAAACAAAAAAACATTTTTGACTTGGATAAACCTTAGTAAGTCTTTGAGTACCCCCAGATTGAATACTGCTTATCTAGTAGATGTGCCAAAAGAGGAATAGAAACAGAATATTATATATGGTAGGGATCATATGCAATTATCAGAATAAAAAAAAATCCACAGAGGAGATAGAATTTGAATCAGGCAAAGGTTATCCTTGTACAGATATCTCTTAATTAAGCAGACACAGCTTTAGGTAAACCATAATTTTGTTTCTGAGTAAGAAGAAAACTCCTATTGTTTATAAAGATCTAAACTATACAGATGTTTTAGAAATACATGTTTATAGAATCAACAGATATTTGCTGCATAGACCCAATACTTTGAAGTTTAGAAGGATCTCAGAGACCATGTGGACAAGGATTTCACAAACCTCCCTGCAGAGCCCCATAGGGTTCATCGTAAAATGGACCTGTGCAACTTCCAGGCAAAGATTGGGGTCAGTAGTAAGCTTCAAGGATTCCTACCTCAGCCAGAGACATGGATGTTAAACTGCTCGATATTGTCTCATGGGTCACTGAGGCTCTCATTGTTTTTTCCCTGTGTGCTTCAGTGTGGATAATTTCTACTGATCTACCTTCATGTTTACTGACCATTTCTTCTGCAATGCCCAATATCCTATCTGGGAATTCGGTGAAATTTTTCACTTCAGATATCGTACTTTGCAGTTCTAGAATTTCTATTTAGTTTTTTAAATATAATTTCCACTTTCTCTGCTGATACATCTTAACTTTCACATTATGTCCATTTTCCACCTTCAATTTGTGAAAATATTTATAATGGCTGTTTTCAGTCCTTGTTTGTTAATTCCATCATCTGTGTCATTTTGGGGCCTTTTTCTATTGAATACTTTTCCTCTAGATTACAGTTCATATTTTTCTACTTTTTTTACATGCCTAGTAATTATTACTTGTGTTCGGGACATTGTAGAGGACATTTTATAGGGAGTCTAGACTGTGTTGTTTCCCATTAAAAGGTGTTGGATTTTGTTCAGGCAGGCAGTTAAATTATTGGTGAATCAACTTATCCTATAGGTTTGGTTTTATGCTTTGTTAAAGCAGTTCTATTTCAGTTTGGGTCTTAGTCTCTGGCATGAAAATAGCAATGCTGTGTTCTTGCCATACATCTTGTGTGCTTCGGTCTCTAATAATAACTTTTCTGCTTTTTTGTTTTCTGTTTAGGAACTGACTTCTGAAACCGTTTCCACGAAGAAGAACATATTCATGCAGGAGGACAGAGATTCCCTTGAGAAGGCGGCCTTGAAGCAGGAATTCCATACAAGGCCTTCCAGTATGATTCCAGGAATGCCTCAACAGGTTCCTCCTTCAGAGTCTGCTGGCCAGATTGACTGGAACTTCAAAATGTCACAAGACATAAATTACCAGGAGGCTTTTCAGCATGAAGTTGCTCATGAAATGCCTTCTGGCTCCAAATCTCCTTATTAGGTTATCAGAAAGTAGATGCTTCTGATTTACTTCTCTCAAAGCTGGAAGCCAAGGAAATGGCCAGCTAGAACCAAGATTTAAGGAGCTGTAAAAGAAGAGTTCTACAGGGACTCTCCAGCCTACTGCTGTTCTGAAAACCCTTAATCATGTGAGGATTTGAACTAGTTATAGGATAAAATAAACTCAGAATAATGATTTAAAATCAGTAACTAAATGGGTGTGACTTTTCCTCTTGTTTTATCAATGTCTTGGAGACTACACAGTGAAAACACATCTATCTCATATGTTCATGTCTTAGCTTTTGCTTCACTTCACAGTCAGCCTCTCAGAGTATTTTCTACACATATCCTAGAGTCTACCTATGTCACTGATAGCAGGTATTTTCCTTCAACATATATTATGAATTTTTAAAGTACTTTTTTCCGATTTATGTCAATTGTGGTAAAACACATAAGACTTACCATCTTTACCATTTTTAAGTGTACAGGTCAGTGGTATTAAGTAGATTCATATTCGTGTGCCACCATCACCGCCATCCAAAACTCTTTCATCTTGCAGAACTGAAACTCTAAACCCATTAAACAATAACTTGCCATTTCTCCCTCTCCCCAGCCCCTGGCAAACACCATTCTACTTTCTGTGCCTGTGATTTAGAGTACTCCGTAATTATGTCATATTAATAGATTCATACAATATTTGTCTTTTCTGTGACTGGCTTATTTCACTTAGTGTCATGTCCTCAAGATTCATTCATATTGTAGCATGTGTCAGAATTTCCTTCCTTTATAAGGTAAAATAATATTTTTCTGTATGCTTATACCACGTTTAGCATATCCATTCATTCATTGTCCATAAATGGGCATTCATTCATCAATGGACACTTTCACATTTTAGTGATTGTGAATAATGCTACTGTGAACATGACTCTGCAAATATCTCTTGAAGACGCTGCTTTCAATTCTTTTGAGTATATGCCCAGAAGTAGAATTGCTGGATCATATGGAAATTCTGTTTTTAATTTTTTGGGAAGCCACCATTCTGTTTTCCACAGCAGCTGTACAATGTTGCACTCCCATCAGCAGTGCATAGGGTTCCAATTTCTTCACATCCTCACCAACACTTGTTATTTTGTTGTTGTTTTGATAGTAACCATCCTAATGGTTGTGAGGTGGTATCTCATTGTAGTTTTGATTTGCATTTCCCTTATAATTAGTGATGTTGGGTATGTACTTAATTGGCCATTTGTATATCTTTTTTTGCAAAAATGTCTATTCAAGTCCTTTGCCCATGTTTTGATTGTACTTTTTGGGGTTTTTTTGCTGTTGAGTTTTAGAAGTTTTACATATATTCTGGATGTTAGTCCTCTATCAAATATATGATTTGCAAATATTTTCTCCCATGCTGTGAACAAATGAAATGTTGCCTTTTCACTGTGTTGATAAGGATGACAGGCATTTTGAAACAGGTTAAATAGCAGTAAGCCTTAAAGGTTTGGAAAAAAATGTTTTAAATTACTTTCTATCTACATTCATTCAAATATCATCTGTATGCTAAGGACTTCAGATTTATGTCTTTGATCAAAATTCCCTGAGCTTGACTGCTTGACGTCTCCACTTGGAGGACCAATGTACACTTAGACTTAACTTGCCCCAGTGGACTTTCCATGACAGCTTCTCTGAAGCAGTTTCTCTCCATCCTTCCACGTACTCAGGCCAAAACTCTTGGTGTCCCCTTTGACTCCACCCTTTTTTATCACCCTACATCGGGTTTGTTGACTTTCTATTTAAATAAAGCCAGAATTCAACCACTTGAATGCCCAAACCACGCTCACCTTTCTTTAGGTGATAGCAGTAGCCTGTTAACTAGTCTTCTCCTATCTTTGACTTTCTCTTATCTGTTCTCAGTACTAAGGCCAGGGTGTCTTGGTAAGACATAAGCCAGATCAGTTGTGATAAGTGGCTCCCCACTCTGTTGCAGAAACAGCCAAGGCCCTTGCTATGACCTACCAGACTCTAGGATCTGATCCCCTCACCTTTACTCTCCATGTTGTTCTCTGCACTCCAGCCATGCTGATGTTCTTGAAACACACCAGGCATGGTTCCATATCAGAAATCACCTCCCCACATTCCCCTATTTCTGCAGATTCTTTCTTCCTTCAGGTCTTTACTCAAAAGTTGCCTTTCCAGTGAGGCCTTTTTTGGTCACAGTATCTAGGCTTGACACTGCCATCCACAAACTTTCCTGCCCTCTTCCCAGTCATTCTCCTTCATTAAAACGGGAGCTCCACAAGGGCAGGAATGTATAATCCCAGCACCTAAAACAGTGCCTGGTACACAGGAGATACCAAATAAATATTTGCCAAATGAATAAATAAATCAGTTGAACCTATACCAAGGCTGTCAAGTCATAACAGGTGTAAAAATGGCAAGCTAGCCAGTTTTGATTGGCACAGGATTGGTTTGCAATTCTAGCTTGCTCACCCCTCCCTCCAGTCCAAGACCAGCTACATAACACTGCAAAATGAAAATGCTGCCTGACTTATTCAAAAATGATTAGGTATTTCAAGATGGTGACAGCAGAACATTAAACCAAATGCGCCCCCTTCTATAGTTGGATGTCTGTCTCTCCCAAGCCTCTTGTTGAAATTTGATACCAACGTTAAAGGTGGAGCCTGATGGAAGTATTTGGGTCATAGGAGCAGAATCCTCATTAACAGATTAACGATGTCCTGTCCCCGGGGGAGGAAGAGGAGGGAGTGAGTTCTCACTCTATTAGTTCCCATGAGAGTTTGCCAAGAGCTGGTTGATAAAAAGAGCCTAGCCTCCCTCCCATCTCTCTTGCTCCCTCTCTCACCCTACCAGCCCCCCTTCACCTTCTGCTGTAAGTGGGTCAGCCTCAGATTTTCACCAAATGCCCAGTCTTCCAGTCAGCAGAATTGTGAGCCCAATACACTTTTTCTCTTTGTAAATTACCCCATCTCAGTTATTCCCTTTCAGCAGCGAAAATGGACTAAAATGTTGCCCTTCCTCATATGGGCCCTGTGGGACTCTGCAAGTCACAGACTCATGACATCTACCCTGCTCCAATCAGAACTGCTTCCCGTCTGCAGGATCTGTGATAGGGCAAGTCTTCCTAACTATAAAGTCAGGCCTTAGGATGGGCAGTTCATTAGAACTTAAGTACATTAAAGTTCATACCCCAGTGCTTTCTAAGATAGGCCACATCTTCCACTGGTCTTCCCCAGGATACACTCATACAGAAATTCATCCAAGGCTGGCACATGCAGGGCCCGACATGAGCCACGCTGAAGGAAAACACTCAAAACTTTGGAACTCACTGCTACTGTGGTGTCCCCTCTTTGTCTCATAGGTATAGATGGCTACCCCATCACAGACTACATGGTCAGGGACTGGAACGAGCTCACCTCAGAGCCTCAGAGATCTAAAGGAGTCCCAACCATCATTCACAAACATTATAGACTGAACAGGCTGCAATGGACTGTCCTGGAAACCTAATACCAGGAATGGTAAGTTACAGAAGTTACAGTTTAGGGTGATTTTTTTGCAAGCTGGGAGGGGGTCGTAGGTTTGCAAGTAGGGAGGGGCTCACAGGGTCTGGAGTCATGAGGTTGACTGAGGTTGGTTACAAAGTTCAATGGCCTTGTCAATTGAGGCTGGAATGAGAAACAATAGAAGAATGTCTCAGGTTAGGTGCTGCAGGGGTCGATCGCTCTGTTTTTCATGATCTTTCACCTACTTCAGGTTTTCTAATTCTGGATGGCCCTCCAGAGGTGTACGTTCGGGTCACGGGGGTCGTCATAGCATCTATGGTGCCATCAGTCAGCCTAAAAGACCTTACAGTTTTAAAACCAGGAGGGTCCTGGGCAGACCATGACGGTTAGTCACACTACTTTGATGACAAATTGACTCCATTTAAGAAATGATTTCTAATTAACCCATGTTAGAAGGTTTGACTTTCCTCTAGCACAGTGGTTCTTAAATGGAGAAAAAAAAGTTTTTTATCCGACTTAAAGTCTGTGTTGATGTTAACGAGAGAAGTATCACGAGGCAGGTCTGACACGCTCCCCCTTCTCCCCCAACTCAGGCCCCAACTGGTTCATGGCCTGAACCAGTCTTTCAGGTTAAATTTTAACTCACTTCAGGTGTGATTATGATAATAGAAGAGCAATTTGTTTTATTTTCTGCCTAAGATGCAAGCACATTTCAAAAAAAATTAGACCTGCTGGGTTTCTAGTAAAAATGTGTTAAATTTTAGGTCAGGAATGAGTTACAGGAATAAATCTCAGTGGGCCTCAGGCATTAACTTATTAGGGAGTACTTTAGGGCCACACACAAAGAGGTTTATTATTCAATAGGCTTTTGTGGAAGAGCAGGACAGGCTTCCTGTCTATGCATCTGACAAAGGTTTAATATCCAGTATCTATAAGGAACTTAAACAAATTTACAAGAAGAAACTCAAACGACCCCATTAAAAAGTAAAGTCTCCATTATAGAGATGGAGAATAGATTAGTGGGACATTAACAGACACTTCTCAAAAGAAGTGGAACAAAGGACATTAATAGACACTTCTCAAAAGAAGACATACATGCGCCAACAGTCATGTGAAAAATGCAAATATAAACCACAGTGCAATACCATCTCACACTAGCCAAAATGGGTATTGTTAAAAAGTCAAAAAATAACAGATGCTGGTGAGGTTGTGGAGGAAAAGGAACACTTATATACTGTTGATGGGAGTGTAAATTAGTTCAACCATTGTAGAAGACACTATCGTGATTCCTAAAAGACTTAAAGACAGTAATATTATACCATTAGACCCAGCAATTCCATTACTAGGTATATATCAAAAGGAATATACATTTTTCTACCATAAAGACACATGCAGGCATATGTTCAGTGCAGCACTATTCACAATACTAAAGTCATGGAATCAACCTAAATGCTCAACAATGATAGACTGGATAAAGAAAATGTGGTACACATATACCATGGAATACTATGCAGCCAGAAAAAAGAATTAGATCATGTCCTTTACAGGGACGTGGATGGAGCTGGAGGCCATTATCCTTAGCAAACTAATGTAGGAACAGAAAACCAAATACCACATGTTCTCACTTACAAATGAGAGCTAAATGATGAGAACACATGGACTCATGGTGGGGAACAACACACACAGGGGCCATTGGAG